TCTCATTAAAGATGGTTGTGGAGCCACCATGTGTTGCTGGAAATTGAACTCAGAACCTCTGGGAAGAGCAGTCAAGTGCTCTTAACCAGTAAGCTATCTCTCCAGACCTCTATTTGGAATTTTAAGTTTTAGAAATCAATGCCATTTTCACAGTCTGGGGATGGGATGATGGTTTACTGGGCAGGAGCACTTGGTTCATAGGCATAAGGACCTGAGTTTGAATCCCCAGAATCTATATAAAAAGCTGGGTATGGGTGCCTATGGAAATAGGAGGGTCATTGGGGCTTGCTGATTGTCAGCCAAGTTCCAAGTTCAGTGATACAACCTTTCTCAAGAGAATAAGGTGAAAGTCATAGAACAAGAAACTTGACATCCACATTTCATCTCCTGTACTTTAGTTGGGACACACATACAACCTCCCCATTATAAATAAATATATTTCCTTGGCTATAAGTTAATACTGTTTATATTCATTGTTTCTATCAGTATTCCATAATTGAAGCTTCCTAACAACTTAGGTGCCTCCAGCTAGTTAAACACCTTTATTACATTTTATTTTATCTATTGTACATGTGTGTGTATGTGTGTGCATGCCTGACACTGCATATGTACAGAGGTCAGAAAATTACTTTGCAGGAGTTAATATTCTTCCCACTGTAGAGGTCCTAGAGGCAAACTCAGGTTGCCAAGGTCAGCAGCAAGCACCTTTATTCACTGCATCATCTCACTAGCCATTTTTTTAAATTAAATCAGGAAATACATTTTTTAATAATACTCTTAAGAAAGGAATATTTGGTAAAGGAAAAGGTATTAAATATTTGCATTTTCTCACTGTTTGAAGATTAAGGGAACATAAAATTTTATGGTCTATAAGAATAAATATAAATTTCAGTTCTACATAAAACACAACCACTTTTTATTTTCAGGATTAAATAATTCATTAATGCTTTATTTTGTTAATAAAAGCTTGACAAACTTAAATGTTCATTAGAATTGCTTATTTTGCTTTATGCCTTAACAGCATTTATAAAACTAGGTACCACAGAAACAGAACAACAGACTTAGAATACAATTTACTGTATTTAAAAATAGATTACCTAGGTTTACTGAAACACAATGTATTTGATAGTTCCAGTTACTTTAATAGTTTCTATAGTAACATGCATTTACATAGAAGTAGATTCATAGTATTTGGTTGAATAAGCTAATTTGTGAAAACTGTATTCAGTAAGTCTAATTGACAAATTATCTTTCTTCTATATTACAGGAAAACAACCAAAGTTTTAAGTAGCATTTAAGAACAGATGAATTTGAAGATAAAGAATTATTCATTTTATATTTTGGACACCTGCAAATGAAGTGGACCTAGTAATAATAACTAATGGACTGTGACGATTCAATTTATTTTTACTTTTGATGGTTGGCTATTTGGCTTCTCATAAAATGAGAAAGAGATATTTTAAACTATAAAGAATTTTTCTAATCAGTTTCAACTTTGCAGGTAGTTCCTGCAAAAATTGGGAAGTAACACTCGAAAGTGGGGATGTTGTTGGCGAAGTGGGAAGACTGTATTATAATTTGCATGCTACTTGCAATTCTTGTTTTTCATCACTTGTAATAATGGAATGGAAATGTAAGCTGTAAAGATTCTCAAATATAAAGTATTTGCTACGATGTATATATGGTACATAATTTTTGTTGCCCATAAAGTCAATGTCACTTGTTCTTTTTCTGACTGATTTCACACCAGCACTTGAATAGATTATGATGTCTCCAGAGGCTTGGAATGATTCAGGGTGCCTAAAGCACAGTTGTCAGTGACAGGGGGAAGACTTTCTGATAAACACAATGTCAGGGGAAAGACTTTCTGATAAACACAATGTCAGGGGAAAGACTTTCTGATAGACACAATGGCAAGGGGAAGACTTTCTGATAAACACAATGGCAGGGGAAAGACTTTCTGATAGACACAATGGCAGGGACAAAACTTTTTGATAGACACAATGGCAGGGAGAAGACTTTCTGACAGATACAATGGCAGGGAGAAGACTTTCTGACAGACACAAGGGAGAAGACTTTCTGACAGACTGGCAGGGAGAAGACTTTCTGACAGACACAATGGCAGGGAGAAGACTTTCTGACAGACACAATGGCAGGGAGAAGACTTTCTGACAGACACAATGGCAGGGAGAAGACTTTCTGATAGACACTTCAAATATTGTTCTCTAGGTTCTTAAGAACAACATGGTCTTAGATTCATAAATCTGAGCAGAGATAAACATTTGAAATGGTAGGTAGTGAAATTGAAATTGAAAAGTAGCTGATACTTAATGTCACTCATCAGACCATATGACCGAGAGTCAAACAGTTGGAAAGTCAAATTAAGATTGTTTTCAAAAGAGGACAAATTCAGGCATTTGCAAATAATTGATGTACATTAAGTTTCAGTTCTTTAATTTCTCATAAGAATATATATGGATAAAGAATTTTGAGGACTAAACTTTTAATTCCTAGAAAGTTAATGCACTAAAATACATGTAATGTGTCAGAAATACTGCAGACAGAAAGGTAAGCACAAACCCACTCCTTTACTCTTGTGTTCTGGGGCCACTGGGAAGTCACTCGAGGTCACCAGTAACAGCAACCTTGTTTCTCCTGTGTGTGAAGTACCAAACCTGGCACCTCTGCAACAGTAATTTTACCAGCTTGGAATTTTAGTAGCTTATTTTTCATTGGTTTGCTTCTCAAAGAAAGGATATTTTTAATAGAAAACAAAAAACACAAAACTTGTTCTTTAGGCATAAATGTATTGTTTGTTTGAAATGAGATGTGTGTACTATGGATGGCATCGTTGTGTGTGTGTTGCCTCCTATGGTTGGTTTTCCTTTTCATTATAGGATCCAGTATGTCTATGTACGTATTTTCATACATATTTACACACGCACACTTAAACACATAAATACATGCATAATAGCTGAGATAAGATTGGCCATACTTAATTGGTTAATTATTTGCTTTTTTTCTTAAGTCCTTTTGATTCTAGCTTAATATATTTATAAAACCCATTACAATTTGTAGCCAGAGGGCCATTCTCCAAACTCTGTTGCTAGGTAGAGATTCTTTTCAGTTAGACAACTATGCTACTTTGGGAACTACCCAGTATGCAAAACACATGGTAGGATTTTTGGGTTGGATATGAAGAGGGCCAGTTAAGAAAATGTTTCTATTGGTTGTAGCTTATATTTTGAAATCATTTATAACCAGAATTTCCAAGAAGCATGTGTATGTTGAAAGATTCCTGGGTTTCAGAACTTTTTGATGTGTAATCACAGTGGGACCACAAAGACTGCTTTGCTATCTCTTTGCCTTTCACACAAATGTATGGTTTGTCTCAACAATCATTGTATAAAAAAACTCCATTAAGGTTTTTGCCTTGCATGTCTATATCAAAAGAGTTGAGCCAGGCATTGTTTCTTAATGCTTGTCATCTTAAGATTTGAATATACATATACACAGTGTGTGTGTGTGTGTGTGTGTGTGTGTGTGTGTGTGTGTAAAAATGTGCTCATCTGGTCTAACAAACTATGAAAATTTACATAAATAAGTACTGAAATTATATAGAAAGATTCAATAAATTAATGTCCCATAAATTATTTGAGATAATATTCTAGATTGAGTCCCATATTTATGAAATTAAACTTTCATTCAAGCTTTGTCTTTTTCTAAATTTTCCACTTGTTAAAAATACCATAGTATGGCTGGGCAGTGGTGGAGCACACTTTTAATTTCAGCACTCAGGAGGCAGAGGCAGCTGGATCCCTGTGAGTTTGAGCCCAGCCTGGTCTACAAAGTGAGTTCCAGGACAGCCAGGGCTGTTACACAGAGAAACCCTGTCTCCAAAAAACAAGCAAAAACAAAGAAAAGCAAAAAGGAAAAAAACCCATAATATTTTACATGTTTTTCCCCTTAAGACCAGAGTTTTGAAGGCATTTGCATGAGAGAATAACATGGTAATATTTCTATGTGTATTTTCATAGCAGAGTCTATAACCAGAGTTTTTAGAGGAGAATAGATAAGCTGCATAGTTTATCAGGAAAGTCCATAAAATAGGTTTATTCAGTATTAAAGTTTTGTTCTTGTTTTAATTTCTTTAATCAGTTGAGTTGAAATTTTAGATTAAAAGTACTGATTTTAAACATCTTCATTTATATGCAAATGTCCTTTTTTCATAAGAATAGTCAGCTATTTGGATTATATACTAGAGACTTCTGCCATAAACTTTAATATCTCCAAAGTTTGCTCAATAATGTTTAGCTTATATATGAGAATCGTGATACTAACAAAGGTGTCACATTAGAAAATGCCCTAAATTACTACAGAGTGTTCACTTGAAAAACACCAGTTTACAACATAACACATGGACAGAGCTTCTACAGGCTACAACCAAGTTTGTTTTCTGCATATATGTTAATATTAAAGGAATTATAAAGGGAATAGTTGGAGGACTATGTGATGAACACGTGGACCTTATTGAAGAATTTTTCTCTCACAGAAAAATGTATTACTAAAAAAATCACAAAGCACAGATGTAATCCTTTGGAGCATATGCCTGTTTACAACCCCTGCTCTATGATATATGATGCTTTAGAAGTTCTCAGCATTTTTACCATAATTATCACAATTTTATTATTTATATACCATTTTATATATTAAGGATTTTGCTATAATGATTGATTACAATGTATAAATTAGCATCAATTACCAAGAGTAATGATAAACTTTGAAAATAGTTACAGAATATACTTCAGAATAGTGTACTTATCATAAACACATTGAACGAAAGTGTGCAGCCAATTGACAACTACAGAGAACTTTTCAGGTTGCATTTTAGATGAGAACACTTGTACTTCAAACAATAAAGACAATGTGTAGGGACATCTAATTGTTGTTCAGGATCCACCATGAAGCTGAAAGAAGAAGAAGAAATAATGAAACTTGTTTTTAGGGCAGAGAAAGTCAAAACTGTAAAGAGATCATTCCCTTCATCTTCTGTCTGCATAATTGCTTTTCTAGGTTCTAGACTCTTTGGGATATTGACTTATTCCTGTGTAATTATACTATAGGTTTTTGTTCGTTGTCATCTAAGACTTTTCTGTTATAGATGAATAATGTTTGTTGTAGCAAGATTATCAACACTATAATGATGAGTCATGTTACAATCTACCCAATACTAGCAGTTCTTAGAAAATAACACAAGGTACTCATACATACATGCTTCAGGAAGTTTGAGTCTAAACAGATACATGTAATATAAACAATATTTTAATATGTTTATATTCCAGTACTAGAAATGTGTTCTCCAATGCATATAAATACGTGAACATAACCCATGGCAAAGAAGTATGGTTTCTGGCATGCTGTGGTGAAGGCAGATGAGTAATCTGTGTTTTGAAGCTGTTTACTGGCTTGGGCTTATACCTTACTTTCTTGTGTACTTTCTTCCCTTATGGTAAAGATATTCTGGCTCCCGAGCTGAGTATCTAACTCCTGCTGTCTGCATGGTTTATGATGGTCAGTGGGCCTATATTGCTGTATTCCTGTATGCTTCAGTTGGTATTTATATTTAAATGCTTAGAGGGATATAATTTGGTTTGTATACTTATATCTAGATGATGTTCAGCTTACTTGAGATGTATCTTCTTCAGTGTTTCTAAATATCACAGGTGCCATTTTCAGTTTTTAGACTAAAATTTATTCAGTGACTATGGTTTTGTTTTCATTTCATTGTGGTATAACATACAAAATGCACAAAACTGGTCATTAAAATTAGTATTAGAAGTGGTATGGATGTTAAAACTATATACAATGTCTAAATTCCAGATTTTTGTTCAGCATTGTGTTCCTGCAGTCACACCTAGGAAACTTTAAAATAGGATGCTCCAATGGATGTTAAAATTTTGTTTGTGGTAGGTTTTAATTTGTTTTAGAAGCCAAGACTAACTTTTTATTATGTTCTGTTAAGTTCCATTTATCATTGTTGAGATTAGGTGTGATATGGAAATCAATTCAAGTTGTACAGAAATTAAATTGCATGACGTTTAGCCTCTGAGGATGAGAGTTGATTCAGTTTTATTTGTGGCCATTTTTTTTTCTCTGTCCATTCGGGAACACTGAAAGACAGTGAAGCAGAGTAATGAATGCATGTGTCAGTGATGCAGTGGTGTATCACATCAAAAGTTCATCCAAAATAACGATGAAACTGGATCATAAAATATACTAGGTTATTTTATATTTACAATGCTTACAATAGCATTTCTTCCACCCTTCTTAACTCATGAGCCCCTTTCTGTATTATTTTTCTACTCTATTTTTGCCCATATGTTTTCTGACTTAGACAGACTCAAATCCCCAATAAGAACAAACAGTACTTTCACCCTTTTGAACCAATGGGCTTAGTTTTTGGAGAATTGAAAATGGATCTGATAGCAAACACAAAAATATTAAAATCAGACCTTGGGGAGAGGGAGGAAATATTTGATTGTCTTTTGTCCTTAATGACTGCTTGTTTTTAGCTACATTAAACCTACAGAAGGTCTTCATATATCAGGAAAATTTTACTGTTTTGTGTAATAAAGTAGCAGTACATCCTTAAAGAAGATGAGCAGATAAATGCTAGCAATGTTTTCCTACCTTCTATCAACAAAGGCTGTAGCCAGTCATTATTTATATCATTTATTTGTATAGTAGGCTGAACCCGCTTAGAACAGCAAGTTCAAGCTTGCTATAATAGTGAAGCCAAAACCTTGCTAGATAAATAGAATGTGGCTGCCTCAGTCTCTTCCTTCATAACTTGTCACCACACCTTCCTGGCCTTCCCTAACTATATAGCACCTTGCAATACAAACTGAGTCAAACTGCAAGGCCCGAGAAACTCAGCCATGCTTGGTTTTTTTTTTTTTTTTTTTTTTTTTTTTTTTTTTTTTTTTGGCTTGAGGATTAAACCAGCTGTCCAGTGAGAGAAGTTCTGTATACATCTCCCCCAGGAGGTCTACTGGCACACCAAAACTCTGCCTTAGACTGTGAGGATTAGGTAAATTGAAAGCTATCCCACCTGGCCTCTTGTCTCTTCAACCAGCTGCAGTTCTGGAATTCATTGCCTCATCTCCAGTCTGGTCCTCAGTGCATCAGAGCCCTACCATTCCATTAAGACTCTTCTCTTTAGTAGTGATCTTGTCAAATCTCATTTTCTGTGTTATTTTTTCCAATCATTTCACCATGAATGCCCCAAGGAGCATGGTATCCTTGCATTCCACTCTGATATTATCCTGCCTGTTTTGGTTTTTCTCCCCTGGATGGTGCCCCTTGTTCTCCTTAATAAAGCAGGCTCTTCTTCCTCAGCAGATCTTTACAGAAAGGCATTTCTCCAGGCCTCTCTCAGATGTTTTATTCTTACCTGCTCATGTCTTCACTTAGAATTGGTCTTACTGTGCTTCTGTGGCTGGACACTGCATCTGCAGCTGGAATCCCAGCAGGCTCTTGGTGTAGGTCCTTTTCTCCCTTGACCTAGGCCATTGCCCTGCTTGGTTAGTCTCCACTCCATGAAGACTACCTTTGTCCATCATGTCCATTATTATTGATTGGACCATGTTGTCATCCAAGGACTCCAAATTGTTGTTTACATACCTAATTAAGATAGTCCCCACTTTAAAGTTGAGTAAGATAACTTCTTTAAGTCTACAAAGCATGTATTATCTCTAATGGTAACTACTAGTTTGTGCCTTGAACTGTGTTTTTTTATGTAAATGTGTGCCCTTTGTAAACTTTTTTTTTTTATGTCACACAGGATAGACAACACTTTACCCTATGTTTTTACTTTGTACATCAGTTAGCACCTAGCAATATGCTTGGTCAGAGCAGGATCCCAGCTGGTAATCAGTAAATAGCATCTCAGGAACCCCTGTACCCAGGACAACGTTATTACACAGTAAACATACGTACAGTGAGTAGATAGCTGGGTGGATGGATAGATAGTAAGGGAGTTTTCTCAGTAATCTTAAGCTTTGTTCAGACATCTTAGACAATTTCATTCTAAATCTCTTCTTGTTCTTTTTTCTCCCAGTTATAAAAATCATTTTAGCAGTTATTGTAATGAACGTTTCTAACACTCTAACAACCCCTCTGTGATCACTTATTTCAAAGTACATTCAGCATACTAATTGGGATATAGTAAAGCATTTAAATGATTTTTGAAGTATATGAGTTGACTTACACCTAAATTTTCCTAAAATTGTGGTGACCAAGCAGCTACCAGTACTAGGTTTAATGTAGCTAGAAACAAGCAGTCATTAAGGACAAAAGACAATCAAATATTTCCTCCCTCTCTCAACATTTTGAATAAAGTAACAGTAAAGAAATGTGGGAGATCATGCTATCTTAAAAAAAAGGGGGGTGGAGAAGCACACAGAAGCATGGCACATGCTCCAGGGTAGTTACCAGGAACTAGCATAGTAGATGTGAGCTCTGGAGTTTCCAAGAAATCCACATTGCTTCTTTGGAAGGTCTTGCTGTAATTTGTCTGGAGGTGGCTGTGAAATGATGGCAGGTTAAAGTTGTGCATTTTTGTTTAAAGGCTTCCTAAGTAGAGTACAATAGCAGTCAAATTCAACCAAGATGTCAAGATTTGGGGTGGTTTAAACTAATTTGCCAGATACAGTTTGCTCTAGATGCTTATTTAATTTTAATAGAGCCTGAACAGTAATAATTGTCATCAGAAATTTGGAAGAAAGGGCATTTAAGATAAGCATACAAAACACTCAACAATAGGAGGTTAGGGTAAATTCCAGGAGAAATGTACAAATGAAAGAATTTTAATATCTGCATGTTTAAAGAACAGACTATCTGAAAACAAGAACTGTAAATTTTCTATCAATAGAGAATAAAAAGACCAATAAGCTTGGAGATAAGGTGCCTTCCAGGATTCTTCCTGAAATAATATTGTTGCTATTGCGTCTTGATTATAGCACAGAATGCACCAATTATTTGTCACTGAGCAAGCACTCTACCATTGAGCTACCTCCCAAGACTGCTCATCGAAGCCATAAAAATGACAATTAAGGTGAAATACAAATCAGTTGAATATCCCAGCATTCCTTTATTTCTGTATTTAGTACCCTAAAACACTGATGTTTTCTGTACTACCCCAAACCATCAGGAACTGTTTGTGAGATAGAATAACAAAAATAGCCCTCATCACATATTTTAAAATTGCATATTTGTCAGTAATTATTTTTACTTTCAAAGTTTTTCAGCTTTTCCAATGTCTTTTATTCCTTTATTTCTAATGTTTAAGGATATTTAAAAAGTTATATTAGCCATTGTGTATAGTTTTAAATTTAAATAAAATAAAATGATATCCACATTGTTTATATCTTATGAAACTTCATACTCTCATCATGTCTCCTTCCTGGGGTACCCATGACCCTTATCTAATTCTGCTTTACTAAGAGCATCAGTAAAATGCAAAAACTCAAAGTAGGATCATTATCTAAAGCTATGAAATAAGTTCCAAAGAGTTTAGGGTTCAGTTTAACAGGAAGACAAGTTTTAAGATGATGTAAATAACTCAGATCAGGTGGCACAGGTCTGGAATCCTAGATACTTGAGGCTGAAGCAACAGTATTTCAAATTCAAGGCCTGACTGGGCTACAGAGTAAGTTCAAGATCATCCTGGACAACTAATCCATCCTATTTTCAAAGTGCAAACTTAGAAGGAAGCTGGGATGTATCAGTGACAGAGTGCTTACCCAGCATGCTAGAAGCCATGGTTCAATCTCTAGCATCACAAAAGTAGGCAAAAATACATGGTACAGAAATGTACATTGCCACAACCACATTTAATAGAACAAGTAATTTTTTCTTTGCAACTTACCGATTCCACACACTGCTATTCTCCCAGAACTCATAAATCATGTAGCGAGATTCATTTGAAAGCTTCTGTATAGAAATACTGAAATAGAAAAAACATTATTTGGCCTGGAAATTAAAGAAGCAAAGGGATATGACTCAGAAAGCAAAGCATAAATGATAAGTTGCACTATCCTCATTGCAGGTTGGCTAAGTTGCCTCAATGAATAATGTGGAGAGCAGCCAAGGAAGACCCTTAATAGCCTCAAGCCTTTGTCTGTGTACCTGTGTGCACACACATATGTTGGCACACATATCCATAACCACTCACAGTGCACACACAGACAAAAGTGAACCAAATTTTCCAATCTCTATGTAGTATGCAACAATGTTACCTGTATGTCTAGGAAACAAAGTAATTTAAGCTGGTCAGACTACCAAATTGATTTATCAAGAGCCAAGTAGCCCAGTGCATCTATTTTGGCATATAATTTTTAGTATAATATCATCTTTGAAAACTTTTCTTTAAAAAGTTCTTAGTTTATTATTTTGTTGATTGTGTTTGGCTTGTATGTATGCCTGTGCACCACTTACATGCCTAGTGCCCTTGAAGGCCAGGAAAGGGTATCGTATTCCCCTGAAACTAAGGTTACGGTTGTGGACCACCATACTTGAAATCAGACCTGGGTCCTCTGAAAGAGCAGTCAGTACTCGTAACCGCTGAGCCAGATCTCCCCAGTTCCCATTCAAAAGTTTTACTAAGAATCTTTTGTGCCAAAATTTGTTAATAATTATTTGTTTTAAAATATCCTGCTCAGCCAGGCAGTGGTGTTGCATACCTTTAATCCCAGCACTCAGGAGGCAGAGGCAGGTGGAGCTCTTTGAGTTTGAGGCCAGCCTGGTCTACAGAGCGAGTTCCAGGACAGTCTCCATAGGTACAGAGAAACCCTGTCTGGAAAAACCAAGCCAAACCAAACAAACAAATAAAATATCCTGCTCACAGCAGTGTGGAGCATTAGAGAGGACAGTCATGTAAAGCACAGAGGAAAGTTGAACAGGCAGCACAATAGATAAAGATCCAAATCAACACTGAAACAAGAACAGAGGGACACTCATGGCATTTATGAGCTTGTGTAAGAAAAGAAAAAAGAGTGATGCATGTTAAAAACAATTCTTAAAGGATATCTTTTTTAAATAATTTTTATTTGAACTAGAAACAAGATTGAATTACATGACAATCCCAGTTTCCTTCTCCCTCCTGTCCTCCCCTACCACCCCCCAACTAAAACCCGACCTATCACATATCCTTTCTTCTATTCTTCCCCTGATTCAACCTTTGTGCTCCCTCATGACCTCTGCATAAGGGATATCTTTTTAGTCTAATCTTTTATATTTAAATTAGGAAGCAAAATGAAGGATCAAAAAAATAAGGATTTAGCAGTGAAATAATGAAGATTTAGGATTGAGGATCTATTTGTGACCAGCAGGTGGCAGTAACTACACAAAGGATTTTTTTTTTTTTTTTTTTTTAATTTTGTTTTAAAAGATGCTGCTCATGGCAGTGTGGAGCATGAATAGAGAGCATTTTGCTTATTTTTGGAGTACGGTATTTTTCATAGTTTTTAAAATATAATTTGCTTCGTTATGCATGATGTACTAATGTTACTAGCTCAACTTAAGATTTTTCTGAATAAATATTTACTGTATGATAATTATGCAATAAGGAGTTTGTATTTCTTACCCCATGAGTTCATAGGTAAGCTTTGTGACTTTCTCCATAAACCTCCATAATGGTCTGCAAATTAAATTGCATGTATACTTTTTCCTGGGATGAGAATCTATAGCTTATTTAGTGTCTTGAAGGATTCCCTAATGCTCAATTATATTGCAAATTACAGCTCTATTTTCTTTAGAATAAAGATTAAAACACTCAGCCTAGCATCTCAGGCCTCTCATTCATTGCCTCCTGAAATGGGTTATTAATATTACTTGTTATATTAAATGCCCAGTTATTGTACTGTGAGAGTGTTACATCTTCTGGACTAACACAGAAAGGCCTGTAAAGCTGCAATTTCAGCATTTGTTAGATAGATGCAGCAGGATCTTGAGTTTGAGACCAGCTTTGGGTAAGTGGTGAGACATCCTTCAAGCCATCAAGCCTTGGAGATGTACTCATTGGTGGAACACTTGTGTAGCAGGTGAGAGATCCTGTGTTTGATCTCCAGCATTGCCCTCCCAATGAAAGTCACATGTCAGCACAATACCCAAGCTTGTGAAAGACCTGGGTAGAGAACTAAAGAGGAGGGATATCATGGTGTGATAGGATAGTGGGCCAAAGACTGTCCCAATAGAACTACCGTACTATTAAGTGTGCCACCTTTGGCCCATTACTCAACCTCAGTTTCCCCTTCTCTGAAATGGTTCTATGAGGATGCAGAGGACTCCCTTTTTCTTAGCTTCCTTCCCTTTCCAAGTGCCTGCCCTGCCTTTCCACAGGGCCAAACGAATGAGAAAAAGATGTAACAGGAGGGACACACTCCCCACATTTCTCTACACCAAGGTCTAGGTTTGGCCACCATATTTTATCTTATCCATACAGATTGATGATTGATGTCTCAATGCACCCCATTAATTCTTAAGGGTGTCTCAAGAGTGAGTTTTGCAATATAATCCACAGTCATGTTTCCTGGGTCCTTGACATTGGAAATATGAACATATTATATTTCTCAAGCTTTGTAGCAGAGAGTAGCCTCAGAGATCACTTTATTCTATTAAAAACCTAGAATTTTAGGACAAGAATATGATTGGAATTGCTTTCTACCTTTATGAGTAAGGAGCCTGTTTTTAAAGCTAGATGATAAAATCATCGAAGGCAGAAGCTATTTCCTGTCTGGCATCAAGGGAGATTCTATGAGCACACTGTTACATCATTTACTCAGCTGGTGACTCTCTCACAAATGGTACTGAGCATTTGTAATTGCAGAGGAAATTAGCAGCATATATTAATATACCATTATATACCCACTCACATCAATGTGTTTGTGCGTTTAAGTACACACACCAGGACATTAGGCTTGGTGGCAAGCACCTTTACCCACTGAGCCATCTTGTCAGCCCTCCCCATGGTCTTTAAAGCACCATTAACAGAATACTGTCACCAAACCTCTGTGAGTCCTCAGACTTAGACATTTTTAATTTATTATTTATTTATTTATGTTAAAGATTTTATTTATTTATTATATATACAACATTCTGCTTTCATGTATATCTGCACACCAGAAGAGGACACCAGATCTCATAATGGATGGTTGTGAGCCTCCATGTGGTTGCTGGGAATTGAACTCAGGACCTCTGGAAGAGCAGCCAGTGCTCTTAACCACTGAGCCATCTCTCCAGCCCCTATTTTTTATTTTTATAATTGTAATTAGACCAATTTTAAATTAGAAACAAATTTCTTTTACATGTCAATCCCAGTTCCCTCTTCCTCCCCTCCTCTCTGCCCGCCCCCCCATCCCAACCCCTTTCTGCTCCCCAGGGAGTGTGAGGCCTTCGATGGGGGATCTTCAAAGTCTGTCATATCATTTGGAGCAGGGCCTAGACCCTCCCCTATGTGTCTAGGATGAGAGAGTATCCCTTTATGTGGAGTGAGCTCACAAAGTCCATTCGTGTACTAGGGATAAATACTGATCCACTACCAGAGGCTTCATAGATTGCCCAGACCTCCAAACTGACATCCTCATTTGGGGGGGTTCTGGATCAGTGCTATGCTGTTTTCCCAGCTATAGGTCTGGGGTCATGAGCTCCCCTTGTTCAGATCAGCTGTTTTTGTGGGTTTCAGCAGCCTGGTGTTGACCCCTTTGCTCATCACTCCTCCCTCTCTGCAACTGGATTCCAGGGTTCAGCTCAGAGACTTACACATTTCTAAATGAATACTCAAAGCAAAAGTTCTAATTCAGTTGCTTGAATTTAACAAGATTATTTCTGGTATAACTGGAACAGGAAGGATCTTGTGTATGTGTCCCACCCCTAGTTAACCACAAAACGTTCAGGAATCTTTAATTCAACTATGATTAAATCCTAACAAAGGAGATTAAACATGGTTTTGAGTGAAGCTTGATCAGGTAATATATGTAATATATGCCTGCATCGATTCTGGTGGAAACTAAATATGAGAATTGCCAATCTTCTAAGGCATCACTCATGATAGCACTCTGTGTCTTGCATGGGGACAATTAGCTAAGCATTGTGGGAAACAAATCTAAAACGTTTGCTAATTCACAGAGTGTCACAGCACTAGGCAGCTGTGGAGGGTACTCAAGATCACAACTGCTGACATGAGTGGCATTTGGTGATTTGCCCATAAGTAGAGAACTGGAGCTGATTAGCTGGTACATCTGAAACATTGAATTTAGACTAGAGTTGTCTCTTCCTTCCACAGGATGCTCCACCTGTGTGGTCATTTTCTCATACTCATTATATCTGATAAAATAGACATTCTGACCATTCTGCAACAGAAATGAACTGAAGAATCAGCAATAAGCAGATGAAGAACTGCTAAGAAGTGTGCGAAGGAAAAGGCAAGGCTGGGAATCCAACCTTCAGGAAATGCTCCTCTCCTTTAGCAGGGGCAGTTCTTCATGATTCTGCATGGTTTGCAGCAAGCATCTCTCTGACCTGCCCACAGCAGGTTACTCCTTTCTGGGGCTATTCTGGCACCCAAAGCAGTTTCAGAATCTTAAAAGTTTTGTGTCCTTTTAAATAAATATGAAGCATCTAACCAATCCCCGGGAATTTGGCACAAACTTTTCTTCTTTCTATGCTTGCTATTTCAAAAATAATTTACTGAGATCAATGTTCTTCGGTTGCATAGGTTCCTTTTGCATTTTCCAAGTATTTTTATTTTAAAATGAGTGGGCTTTTAGAAACTACATGCATTTCTGCCTTAGCAAATCTCTAATTCATCCAAGGGTGATAGCGCTTTTATTTGTGCTCTTTTGATGCTGCTATGAAGTAGAGTAACAGTCATGGAAGTGCAGCATTTCCTAGTGTCTTCCAAAAAGGCTGCACTGGGAGGTTGTGGGGAGTTAATGATATTCATGCTGCAGAGCTGGGAGGTCAGCCAGGAAGAAGGAGTGGGTGAGTCCAGCTCAGGTTTCATGGTCTTCAGTGAATGGAAGATACTATACTGGGCAGTTCACACATAAACATTCCATGAGGTAGTGTGTGTGTGTGTGTGTGTGTGTGTGTGTGTATGTGTGTATGTGTGTAGGGATTGAACCAGGGCCTTATTCATGCTAGGCAAGTGTTCTACTTCTGAGGTTCTTTCCTAATATTTACTGTGTTTGGGACAAGGTCTCAGTAAAATTGCCCGGTTAG